TATGTTAAACATAAGTGAAAAAGACCGCCGAGCAACCACTGATGTACTCCAACAATTTAGTTCAGTTTTCTCTGAGAATATCTCTGGAAATCGGACGATCACTGTACAGCACTCCATCCTCACAGGTGATCACATGCCATTACGTCAACCACCTCGCCGAGTGCCAGTACATTACCAGCCTCAATTAGAGTCAATGATAAAAGATATGCTGGAGAAAAAGATCATTGTACCATCTTCATCACCATGGGCATCGCCTATCGTTTTAGTGAAAAAGAAAGACTCTTCCCTACGACTATGCGTAGACTACCGCCGCCTTAACGCTATAACTAAACGTGATTCTTTCCCACTTCCACGTATAGACGCTACATTAAATGCCATGAAAGGCGCTCGTTGGTTCTCGACTTTAGACTTAGCATCAGGGTATTGGCAAGTGGAAGTCCGACCTCAAGATAGAAAAAAGACTGCATTCACAGTACCCAATGGTCTATATGAATTTCAAGTGATGCCGTTTAGGCTAACTAATGCCCCAGCCACTTTCCAACGATTAATGCAGACAGTTCTACATGGTCTCGTACCACACCAGTGTTTAATTTACCTTGACGATATTATTGTGTATGGCAGAACGCCGGAACAGCATAATGCCAATTTGAAGGCAGTCCTACAACGAATTAAGCAGCATAACCTAAAAGTTAAACCATCTAGATGTCGACTATTGCAAAAAGAAGTGCTCTTTCTAGGGCATCGCATTACAGAAGATGGAGTAGCAACAGATCAGGGAAAAACGAGCGCCATTATTAACTGGCCACAACCGAAATCTGCCGAGGATGTTCGCAGCTTCCTGGGACTCGCTTCTTATTATAGACGTTTCATACGGGATTTTGCATCCCTGGCAGCACCTCTACATCGCCTGACGCACAAAGGACGAACATTTTTGTGGACCACAAAATGTCAACAAGCATTTAGCACTTTGAAGTCGTGTCTTGCTGCTCCACCCATACTAGCTTTTCCGGACACTTCTGCTAAAGCGGGTGAGTTTATACTCATCAGATATTGGAACAGTCCTGTCTCAAATAGCACCTGATGGACAGGAGCGGGTCACTGCTTACGCTAGTCGGCGGTTAGATAAGAGAGAGACAAGGTATTCTACGACGCGCCGAGAGATGCTGGCTTTGGTAAAATTTTCGCAACATTTTCGTCACTATCTCTTAGGACGACCCTTTCGTGTACGCACAGACCACCGTGCACTACAGTGGCTTCGTTCGTTCCGTGAACCAGAAGGTCAGGTAGCGCGCTGGCAGGAGAGGTTGCAGGAGTTTGATTTTACCTGTGAATACCGACCCGGAAGCCGACACACAAACGCTGATTCTCTATCTCGTATACCTTATTCTCCTGATACCATTAGTGCCGTCCTTAGCACAGCCCCCGAGATCGACTGGCCGTCTCTTCAAGCAGAAGACCCAGATCTGCGATTTATTTATCAGCGGCAACTACATGGCAATAATAAACCATCTATGACAGAGTTAAAGGATCATTCCTTGGCGACGCGCCGTCTTTGTGCCAAGTGGGGCAGTCTAAGATTGTATGAAGACACGCTGTTTATAGTCAGTGAATCAAAACAACCACTATTGATAGTACCACGTATACAAGTTCAGAATATTATGGAGCAGGCACACCGAGAACTGGGGCACTCAGGAAAACGGAAGACTGAACATGCTATCTGCGGAAGGTTTTGGTGGCCATCCATCCACGAAGACGTTGCAGAATTCTGCAAAAATTGTAGCACGTGCTATGCTATCAAGTCACCCCGACAAATACCCCGCGCACCCTTAGTTCCAATGACGACAGAAGGTCCGCATCAGCAAGTTGGCATCGATATTATGGGGCCACTCACAACGTCAAAGAACGGAAACCGTTATTTACTGGTTATGGTAGACTATTTCAGCAAATGGTGTGAAGCTGTGCCTATACCACAACAAGATGCCCTCACAGTCACTCGGGCTTTCATTGATCATTGGGTATCCCGGTACGGCGCTCCCCTCTCACTCTATTCTGACCAAGGTTCAGCTTTTGAAAGTCATCTCGTCGCCCAGGTATGTCGATTATTGGGAATCCGGAAAACACACACTACCGCATATCATCCAGAAGGTAACGGCTTAGTGGAAAGAACCAACAGGACTATCAAAGCTCTCCTTCAATCGTCGTCGACGGAATGTTGGGATGGCGTGATACCACAATGTCTGTTAGCTTACCGCTCATCAGTGAACGGATCTACAGGATTTTCACCGGCGACCCTACTTTTTAGGCATGAATTGCGCCTACCCGTTGAGCTGCAAATACCGCTGTTACCATGCGAGGTCCAAGATCATGTAGTATACATCCGTAATCTTCGCAGCCGCCTAGCCGACGCCTATCGCTTAGTGAAGATCAACCTACAAAATGCCAGCAAGCACCAAAAGGACGTATACGATCGCAAGACGAACGGACCTGTGTATAAACCCGGAGATCGTGTGTGGGTGCACAGCCCTTTGGCTCCACCGGGGACATGCAGCAAGTTCCATCACCCTTGGCAAGGACCTTATAAAGTTGTGTTTATGCGGTCTCCCACTGCATTCGTCTTACGTAACCTCCAACGACCCCAAGACGATGTTATAACAGTACACTACAATCAATTAAAGCCAGACAAGACAACGGTGCACTTAGATACCCCGTTTGTCAACCCTCCGACTGCCGTCAGCCATTATGAAGTGCCACTAGAAGGAGGGGTAGCATACCCATGTCCAGCACCAGGCACTGAGGACAGTGCCTCATGAAGAGAGGGGATAGTGTAACAGTATCGAAAATCATTACGTGTAACTTTATTAATGCAGGTTTGTTTTCCTTATTGCAGGACAACAGAAAGTGAACGTATTAGAAGAAGAACAAAGCTTGCGCAAACTAAACCTGCTGGATGATGAGTAAAACTATTTTGTAACAGACTTCTCTTTTTGTACAAAAACCGCGTATTTCAATTTCTAATATATCTCTGTTGTGCTCGCACGCCGTGTTCTCACTTGAGTGGCATCTGCCAGTCCTGACTGTTGTGTTGTGTTTCAGATTGCTCCTGCCTCCAGGTAAACGCTATGATACGTGCTACAGCGTAACCAAGGTTGCATCAGAGTACTCCACAAGACTGAAAATATACGGTTAAGAAGCAAAAAAATGGTGTAGAGTATGCGGATCAAGTACAGTTGTGTCAAATACATTTCTCTGGTTTGATTTAGGTATGTATGATATATTGAAGCAATATTTCGTCAATTCATCCAAGTAACGAATTGGTTTGGACCTCAGAAGTGTGAAAGTCCTATTTCTCAATGGTATTATGAGTGAATAATTGGTGTAAGGTAATATTGAAGTCACTTCCTCCGTGGTCTGATGTAGTTTAACGCCTAAGCACGCGGTCTAGCATTCAGGAGGGCAGATGTTCGAGTGTGTGTTGGGCCTGCGTTTTTGTTCACCAGACCCATCTTCAATACGATGTTTGTTGCCCGTAAGTGGTCCACATATGAGAGAAAAAATGACAAGAGAACAGATTGATATATCAAAGTGCCATATCGGAAAAGTACAAGTTCTTTGTTTACATTAATATTATTCCTATAGAAAAAACTACAAGTTTAGTAAATTTCCATTTTACGTTATATTTCAACCAACGAATATATATATATATATATATATATATATATATATATCAGTTATTGACATAAAATGTCTTTTTTATACCGCCAATGTTAAGTTCCAGGACTTTGTATGGGCCACTAATAATAATTGGTTTAACGTTAGCATAGTCGTGATATTCATATTGTCAGTTCAATGTTGTGATTACTAAACAGTTCCCTTGAAAGTCGTGTTTAAAATTAGGTATGTGGACTCAATGCGGCTAACATAGTAACCTTACAGTAACGCACTGTACTATATCTTCACGGTTATTGATTCTTAAATGTCAGAAATTTTTAAAAAAAAATCTGGATGTTGCCAATAAAGATGGGTTATATGATCACACTAAAAGCATGCTGGTGAAAAACTGGTTAAGTCATTGCATCAGTTTCCTAAAGATGAAAAAAAAAAGATGCTAATCTTAATAAGTACTTGACCACGGTTTAATCCAAAATGTTTTGTCTAAAAACCACTTAATAATAGTAGTATTAATCGTATCAAGCTACTAAACATATCCTCAGCCGAAGACTTTACAAAGTAGTTCATATGGTATATATGTATAGCCAGTCTACGTGAAAAATGTATATAGATATATAAGAAGTACAGCCAACATTATGATAAGTCGTGTAGGTTGAACGCTATATACGGTTCCTGCTTAGGATTCTGGTTCGGATATCGGCATCTTCGGGTGAACGCAGGCTGCAGATAAATACTAAGCATTTAAACTGATCTTCAGACATGGACGACAATCTAAATCTCTCACATTCTCGGTTCACAGTTCCTGCATGCTTCACCCAGTCATCTCCTGGTTCTTTCGTTAACTTTAAGCACTGGTAACGGATATTAAATAGAGATGACTGTTCTCCAAAGATTTGGGATAGGGTTTTGACTGTATCATCAAAACTAAAATCTCGTGGGTTCTTCGGAAGAATGAAGTTGCTATAGCGTTCATGTTCCATAGTCCCAAGTTTTCTAAGAAGTATTCTGACTTTTGAAGCATCATCCAGTTTGCAAAGATCAATATAAAACAAATCTTCATACTTCTTAAACCACGACTCGAAAGTTACACCTGCTACACCATCAAAATTAAATTCATGGATGGCGTTAATGACTGAATCAGTATGTGATACTTGAGATTCACTAGAAGCAGGGTTTTTCTCGGACAGGCAGAATTTCTGCATCAGGGTTTCCATGATTCTAATATGGGACTCTTCAAACCTCTTTTCTTGACGCACCATATAAGCTTCTAATTGCTCCAAGGAAATATTCATTGAAGTTTTCATCCCCGTCGCCACTGATAAGTCGTGTAGGTTGAACGCTATATACGGTTCCTAAGCTTTTTCGGTAACCCGCAGTCTAGAACTACACAGCGACTTGAACTCCAGAGAGAAGACACAAGAATGAGAGAAAGCACTTTATTCCAAGGTTCATTTTTGTACAGAAAATCATGGGTATTTATAGATTTTGGCGTCTGTTAAATCAACATCAATTTACAGCCAATCCGATAACAACACATTATGCTACCGACCAATAGTAGCACGCCACGTTGGAATTCTGGAACGTTCCATCACACTCTGATTGGCTAGGACTCTTCGGCTCCTTTTGGGCCTCTGGAGGCTCCGTTGAAGTTCTCTGGAAGCCGACCCAACACCTCCCCCGAATAAGATTTCTTTCTGGGATCTAATTGTATTTTGACGACTGGGCAGCGACGGCGCCCCATTATTCTTGTCGTTTCCCTTGTCCAAGGCTTCTTTTCACTGTTCCTGGGCGTTTGTGGCGTTGGTGCGTCTAAGATTGAATCTAACGGGAAAATCGGCCGGTTACTTCGAGTCTGCACCGTTCTTTTTTCCTTAAGGATTTGATTTGTATGACGTATACATGTCCCAAAAGCTCATCGAACTCTGTTCAGTACTCTTCCCAGTTTTTCCACTACTTCGCCCGGCTCCCATCGGTTCTTCCCGATGTAGGACTTGATGTAAACTTTGTCACCAACACTGAAGTTTCGGATACTTGGACCGTGACTGCGCTCATCCACTAATTTGGATGGCAACATGGCATCGAAGATGGTTCGAATGCGCCTCCCAAACATGGCTTCCGCGGGAGATTTGCCGTCTGGAACATTCGGGTTCGGAGTGGATCTGTAGGATGTTAAAAATTTTGCGATCACCTGCCCGGTTGTCCCTTCTCCTCCCCCTTTCAGAAGTGCTCTCTTCAATGTATCCACGAAGCGCTCTGCCTGGCCATTCGATTGAGGGTGATACGGGGGAGATCGTATGTGCACAATGCCATTAACGTTGCAGAAGTGCTTGAATGATTCTGCAGTGAATTGTGAACCGTTATCGGTCACTAACGTCTGCGGAACTCCAAAACAGCTAAACAGGTCGGATAATTTGCTGATTGTTTCACCGGCTGTGCAATTCACCATGGCGTAGATTTGTGGCCATTTTGTGAACGCGTCTACTGTGATTAGATACATTCTTCCTCGTATTGGACCGGCGAAGTCTGCATGCAGCCTCTCCCAGGGACTATTCGGCTTTTCCCATTGTTGCGGTTCACACTTGCTTGGACTTTTGGCTGCTTGTAGGCACGATGAACAATTGCGGCATGTTTTCGATATCTTGATCCATCGTAGGCCAGTATGCGTAGCTTCGAGCCAATGCTTTCATCTTATTGATGCCAGGATGACCGCTGTGGAATTGTTTCAGAACCTTGTAGCGTAATACTTCTGGAACAATAATTCTGTCGCCAAACATAATACATGAGTCGACCATCATAAGTGAGTCCCGTCGGCGAAAATATTGTAGCATTTCTCCTTGAAAACGACGGTTCGGCCACTTGTTGAGAAGATAACCACTAACCTCTCTTAAGGTCTTGTCATTTTCCGTGGCTTCTTTAATGGCCTTGAAAGTAACCGGTAAACCATCAACTGCGTCTTCCAAAACTCGATGTACTTCTGTTTCAGTCTCGATTGCTGCCACCAAAGTGTCTTCTTTCTGTTTTACTTGTGAACCAATCAGTCTAGATAAAGCGTCAGCTTGTCCAAAGTCAGTAGTGGGCTGGTACTTGATCTTGAAGTCATAACCCAGAAGTGTGGTTGCCCATCGTTGCAGTCTGTTTGCGGTGTATACAGGTATACCTTTCTTCGACCCAAAGATGGCTAGTAATGGTTTATGGTCAGTTAATAGGGTGAACTGACGTCCAAATATCATCTTGTGAAATTTCTTGACAGCGAAGATAATCGACAATGCTTCCTTCTCGATCTGACTATAGTTACGTTCTGCTGACGTTAACGATCTAGCCGCATATCGCTTTCTCGGATCCATCTGGCATGATGTGAGAAATAACTGCTCCTATGCCGTAGTTTGATGCGTCTGATGCCACTACAATGGGTAAGGATGGATCGTAATGGGTGAGCAGCAGATCCGAGACTAGTACTTTCTTGATTTCATCGAAAGCGGCTTGGCAAGTTGCAGACCAATTCCATCTTGTGTTCTTTTGTAGTAGGTTGTTTAGTGGAGCACGTAGACGATGGAGATCGGGGAGAAAGGTACCGTGATGACTGACCAATCCCAAGAATGATCGTAGGGTATTAACGTCCCTGGGTCTAGGCATTGTTTTCACTGCTTCAATGTTCTCTGGATCTGGTCGTCTTCCGTCTTTATCTATTATGAACCCAAGGTACCGTACTTGCTGCATATAGAAGTCACACTTTTCCGCTCGGAGGCGAAAACCATAATCAGCTATGCGTTCTAGTACCTGGTCCAGTTTCTTCTGCAGGTCCATTTTATCTACTGCCGTAATTATGATGTCGTCTAGGTAAGCTGCAGCTCCTGGAATACCTTGTAACATGGTATCCATAATTTGCTGGAAAATAGAGGGCGCTGTCTTTACCCCAAAAGGTAGTCGGTTATACCGGAACAGACCTTTGTGCGTGTTGATCGTTAAGAGATCTTTGCTTTCATCAGATACAGGAATTTGTAGGTATGCGTCTGATAAGTCCAATTTTGCAAAATATCTGCTACCGTTCAGCTTAGCGAAAAGATCTTCTGGTAAGGGTAACGGATACTCGTGAGACTGTAGCGCTTCATTTAATCCCGTGGAGTAGTCTGCACATAAACGAACACTTCCATTCGACTTCTTGACCACTACTATTGGTGCAGCCCAATTCGAGAAGTTCACAGGCTCGATAACACCCATTTGCTGAAGTCGTTGTAATTCTTGTTCAACTATTGGAAGAGCAGCATAGGGTACGGGTCTTTTAGGTCGAAAAACGGGAGCAGCTTCAGGTTTTAAAGTTAACAGTGCTTTAGCTTTCGTACATTCTCCCAATCCTTCTCTAAACACGTTTTGATGTCTTTGTAGCATGGCGTTTTTCTGATTCCATTCTGGGATGTTGTCTGTACTTACTCGTCTGCAGATACTGTTGATAGAATGATCTGCTAGTTTAAGTGTTCCTATAAGGTCCAACCCCATTAAGTCTAGTGCTGGCTTCTTAGTGAGATACAATGTTGCATTTCTTGTTACCGTACCTTTAGAAACAGTGCATGGTATTTCTCCAACAATATTCAACTTCCCCCCAGATGCACTGTGTGCCAGCTGTGTTGTTGGGAAAACTGTGGGTCTCCCAGTGTTCTTCCACGTTTCTGGGCTGATTAAAGTAATATCAGAAGCTGTGTCCAGCTGAAGGCGGGCACGGTGTTTATTAATATTCAAGGTCACATACTTTCTTTGGTGGCAACTTCGTGCTCTGTTATGTGATACCAATATCTTGTTGGTTGGAGCACTATATCTGTATTTCTTTGAGTAAGATTTCACGGAACGTTTTCTATAGTCTCTTCTCCTGCAGAAGTTTTCTTTATGCCCCTTCCGATTACATTTGCTGCAACGATGTTCTTTATGTGGGCAAAACCTCTTATAGTGCCAACCTCCACATGCCCAGCATGGAGATGATGGTTTGTCGCTGTTATTTTGGAAATTCTGGGTACTGGAACCTTGAAAGACTTTTCTCTTGACTGCATTGACGTTATGGAAACAGTTACCGTTTTCTACCATTGAGGTATCATGCTTTAAGTTTACTAACCTTTGGCACTCAGTAGTCACTTCTTGCAGGGTCATATTAGGGCAGTGTTCGAGTTTGCTTAGGATTCTGGTTCGGATATCGGCATCTTCGGGTGAACGCAGGCTGCAGATAAATACTAAGCATTTAAACTGATCTTCAGACATGGACGACAATCTAAATCTCTCACATTCTCGGTTCACAGTTCCTGCATGCTTCACCCAGTCATCTCCTGGTTCTTTCGTTAACTTTAAGCACTGGTAACGGATATTAAATAGAGATGACTGTTCTCCAAAGATTTGGGATAGGGTTTTGACTGTATCATCAAAACTAAAATCTCGTGGGTTCTTCGGAAGAATGAAGTTGCTATAGCGTTCATGTTCCATAGTCCCAAGTTTTCTAAGAAGTATTCTGACTTTTGAAGCATCATCCAGTTTGCAAAGATCAATATAAAACAAATCTTCATACTTCTTAAACCACGACTCGAAAGTTACACCTGCTACACCATCAAAATTAAATTCATGGATGGCGTTAATGACTGAATCAGTATGTGATACTTGAGATTCACTAGAAGCAGGGTTTTTCTCGGACAGGCAGAATTTCTGCATCAGGGTTTCCATGATTCTAATATGGGACTCTTCAAACCTCTTTTCTTGACGCACCATATAAGCTTCTAATTGCTCCAAGGAAATATTCATTGAAGTTTTCATCCCCGTCGCCACTGATAAGTCGTGTAGGTTGAACGCTATATACGGTTCCTAAGCTTTTTCGGTAACCCGCAGTCTAGAACTACACAGCGACTTGAACTCCAGAGAGAAGACACAAGAATGAGAGAAAGCACTTTATTCCAAGGTTCATTTTTGTACAGAAAATCATGGGTATTTATAGATTTTGGCGTCTGTTAAATCAACATCAATTTACAGCCAATCCGATAACAACACATTATGCTACCGACCAATAGTAGCACGCCACGTTGGAATTCTGGAACGTTCCATCACACTCTGATTGGCTAGGACTCTTCGGCTCCTTTTGGGCCTCTGGAGGCTCCGTTGAAGTTCTCTGGAAGCCGACCCAACACATTACACTTATATATCAAAGGTAAAAGGTCTGGGGAGTTGTAGGTGAGGCGGAATGAGGGAAAAAATTATTTCTAAGCAAATGCAGGGTCTGATTAGCTACGTGGTTAGATTTTATCGTGCAACCGAAGCTGTCAACATCCTTGACTGACTAATTGGATGTTCCCAGCGAACCGTTTTAGTCATTTGTAAAGATTTATCATCTTCACATTTCGATTCCGTAATGGATTTGTCAGTTAAACGATCTAACAACACGTATGGTGGTTCATGATCTAGATAAGCCGGCTTTAGCCTATCAATACTTACTGTGTCGATGTTTCCATGTTTTTCTATCACGAAATATTTAGATTTTCTTGAGACGACTTTGAAAGGACCTTCAAATGGAGGACTGAGTGGTGCTTTTATTTTGTCACATCTTATCCAGACGTGCGTGTAATTGCTTAGGTCTTTAGGTATATATACGGCGCGCGATTGTTCACGAGTACTAATCGGCTTAAGTTTAGACATGTGGTCCCGTAGTTGATCTACATAATTTTCTAAATTACGTTTTTGACTGTTAGTATTAGGGTTAACAAATTCACCGGGTAGTCTCAGAGTTGTTCCGAAAACCAGTTCCGCAGCTGAACACTGTGCGTCAGTTTTGACAGATGTTCGTATTCCCAACATAACTAATGGTAGGAATTCTGTCCACTGATTGGGGTTCGAGTGAAATATCAGGGCGGTTTTTAGCTGATGGTGAAAACGTTCTACCATCCCATTAGCCTGAGGATGATATGCAATGCAGCGTATCCTATTGAAGCCTAGAAGTTTAGCCAAGTCATTTAATAGTTCGGATTCGAATTGCGCTCCTCTATCAGTCGTTATTGTTATGGGTGTACCAAAAATGGTTACCCAGTTCTGCATGAAAACATTGGCTACTGTTTCCGCTGTAATATCCGCTATCGGGATGGCTATAGGGAATCTAGTAAATCGATCTATGCATGTAAAAAGATAATTAAAACCATTTGAACGTGGTAAAGGACCTACCAAGTCGATATGCACATGGGCAAAACGTGCATCTGGTTGCGAGAAAACACCTATGGGTGAATTTGTGTGACGATTAATCTTTGATTGTTGGCATGCTGAACACTCTCTAACCCATTTGTGTACATCCTTCTGTAAATTCGGCCATATATATCTGGCATTGATTAGTTTTGTTGAAGCTTTTGCGCCAGGATGAGACAAAGAATGAAAGTTATTATATATCAACATTCGCATACTTTTGGGAACGAAAGGTCGCGGCATTGCTTTGGTCGTGTCACAGTAGATTAGAATACCATCGACAGGTGATGGGAACTGTTTTAAATTAAGACTTGAAATGTTTGTTCTAAGCAGGTTTTGTAAT